GGGAGAGACGGGATGAGGTTAATATACAAATGATCTGGGAAATCTCGCCTCTATGTCAAGCATCCTTTGCCATATTGCATATCCAGGCAATGTGATAGGATGTGAAGCCTCTTGTGGTGTCATTTTCCCCGCCGCTCCTGATCGGACAGCCGTCGCGGCAGCTTCAGCATCTCCAAGTTCCCCCAATTCGGGAGTGGGGTGAAGGAGGACTAAGGTTGTCCCGCAGTCGCTTTCTCCCACGAAGATCCGACAAGCGCCACGGCAGGGCCAGGGGCCCAGGAACGCCCACTCAAAACCCACCGAACCCACCCCCGGTCCGCCCACCAAAACCCCAGAGCATCCCGGCCCATGGCAACGGCTTGCCAGTCAAGCTGACGGCCGAGAGCTTGGCATCGCGGCCTTCTGGGGGCCGGTCTGGGGCGACATGGAACCGACATGGAACTGACACTGAATCGCGCTCCGTTGTCCAGCCCGAGACCCTTTGACGAAGACAAAGCTCGACAAAGACATGGCGTGAGCTATGGGGAAGCGCAGCTGCGAGCTGGGCGCATGTGGTCTCGAAAGCGTCGAAAGAGGCCAGGATGAGCCTTCATCCGAGTGCTCCGGCTGACAAGATGTATCGTGCTCCCGAAATCTGGGGGTTTCGGGGGTACAAGTTGGGGACAAGCTTGTTTCGGATCAGGGTCTTCGTATCTCAGTCCCATCACGGCGCGTGCCGTCTGTCTGTGCTTAGTTCAACCTCACACATTGACCTCACATTTCCAACTGCATTCTGCGGTGAGAGCGCAGTACAATCTTCAGCCATCGGCTGTCGTCCACTGGCTGGAATCAAAACTGAAAACCCGGCGCTGTTTGGGCCAAACGTCCAGCCGTCCCCCGGTCCATCCATCTCCCGGTAGCGGCATCCGACCCCTGCCGTTTTGGCACCCCCCCACATCGCTAAATCCCGAGCTTGAGGGCAATGAGGGGTAAAACAATTGTCCTGCACACCATTTGCTCGTGGGAGGGGCCGGCAAGCAATCGAGGAGCTGGGAAAAAGTTCATGGTCAAAACATTTTAAGCCAGATGCGCAAAATGAGCCTAGTTTTCCGTAGTTGATTGAGTTTCATTCCGGCCTGAGCGAACTATTCCGTCATCGTACGATTGAACAGTGCATCGTCGGTTTGAAACTTTTTTTTTCGTCGTCGAGGTTTCACTCTCGAGCTGTTTGTTTCTCCCCAAGCTCCCATTTTGCTCAGAAAAAGTCCCGGCATCGGTAGCCGACGTCATTTTCAGCCATGCCCCTCCACCACTTGATGTGCGGCACCTGGACCCCTCCAGGGGCCATCTTCACCGTTGAGTTTGACGATGAGGCTTTGACTCTGAAGCTCATCAAGCGCACCGAGATTCCTCACGATGAGCCCATCTCGTGGATGGCCTTTGACGTACGATTGACCGATAAGCTCAGCTCCAATTACACCAATTGCTCACCATGAAAAACAGCATGCCAAGAAGAACCTCTACGGCGCTGCCATGAAGAAATGGTCCAGCTTCGCCGTCAAGAGCCCGACCGAGATAGTCCACGAGGCGTCCCACCCCATGGGTGGTGATCGTGCGTATTTTCTTGTTCGACATCCTCAAAATCATCCTGAACCCATCACTAACAGACACCCTCTATCCCAGCCCGTGCCAACGACGCAGACACCAACACCCGCGCCATCTTCCTCCTGGCCGCCAAGCAGCCCCCTTACAACGTCTACTGCAATCCCTTCTACAAGCACGCCGGCTACGGTAACGTCTTCAATGTCTCCGACACGGGTGCCCTCAAGGACAATGTCCAGAACTACCCCTACCAAGAAAACACCGGCATCCACGGCATGGTCTTTGACCCAACCGAGACCTACCTCTACTCGGCCGACTTGACTGCCAACAAGCTGTGGACTCACCGCAAGCTCCCCTCGGGAGAGGTCGAGCTCGTCGGCAGCGTCGATGCCCCTGACGCTGGTGACCACCCTAGATGGGTAGCTATGGTATGTCAGCCCCTTTCCTCCCTGTCCCAACAGGTAAACTAACAGAAACTGTGAAAAGCACCCCTCAGGCAACTACCTCTACGCCCTCATGGAAGCCGGCAACCGCCTCTGCGAATACGTCATCGACCCCGCCACCCACCTCCCCGTCTACACCCACCACTCCTTCCCCTTGATCCCCCCCGGAATCCCCCAAAAGGACAAGGAAACCGGCAAGGGCCTCTACCGCGCCGACGTCGTCGCGCTGACCTTTTCTGGCAAGTACATGTTTGCGTCGTCTCGGGCAAACAAGTTTGACCTTCAGGGGTACTGGTCTGCGTTCAAGCTGAGGGACTGCGGCTCGATTGAGAAGCAGCTTGCGCTGAACCCCACGCCGACGAGCGGCGGTCATTCCAACGCGGTGAGCCCGTGTGATTTTAGCGATGAGTGGGTTGCCATCACGGATGATCAGGAGGGGTGGTTGGAGATGTACAGGTGGCAGGATGAGTATTTGCATAGGGTGGCGAGGGTGAGGATTCCGGAGCCGGGGTTTGGGATGAATGCTATTTGGTATGATTAGGCAGGCTGCCTGGGATATGGGGCCTGATTGGATTTGTCGCGGTATATACGCTAGGTAGAAACGCTGGGTATATTGGAGGTTTAAGGATTGGATATAGAGAAGTCAAATGTATATCAAGTGTATATCAAGTCAAATATGGATGAGGATTCTTTCACTTTGATTTAACTGGCTCTCTTTAGTGCTGTTTGTCACGGGTGTATGTTTGAAGCTGAGATCGTGAGCCTTGAAGACAGTCTGAATTCATCTAATGCTCGCTTGACCATCTCAGTGCTGACCTGGCCACCTAGTCAGGTAGGGTAGTCACAAGCATTCCAGGGATAAGACTGGTCATGGACAGACCCATATATTCAATATTTGGTCATAGAACGTGATTCAGTGCAATACATGGTGTGACATTATGTGAGGGTAATGGGTAAGGTTGGGAGGAGGGCAGTGTGAGAGAGGTCAGTTTAAAAGAGAACAGTTGAAGAGAGGTCAACTTCTAAGAGGTCCGTTTTAAAGAGGTCAGCTCATGAGAGACCAGCTTTGGAGATATCGGTTGGAGACAGCCCAGTTTACATGGAAGTGAGATGACAGTGAAGGAGAGGTCTGATGATGACAAGGTCAGCCTCTTTACAAGACTATTCAATTTATGGGCATGACTATCATCAAATACCTCATGCCGAAGTACATAGATATTGGTACTGAGCTATACCACGGGCAATTCAGAAAGTAATTGGACCATTTATGGAATATTCAGGGCAAGAGGTGATGAGAGAATACAATGACGATATCAATCCATGGTGAACATTGATTCCCGAGTCATCTGCAATGCAGTGTGAGATAATCTATGAAAATGGGAAAAATAAACATAAAAAAAACCCACAGGAAACCTCCTGTCCACTGTGAAAAGACCGAAAAAAATAAGCTTAGTGCAGTGTGAGATATTTCATAGTTTTTCTGGCGTTATAGATTTTAAAATTCGATATCTGGACATGAACTGGAGCTTGGTGTTCTTGTCTGTATTTTAAATCATAAAACCTTGAATGCCGACCTAACATCGGCCGTTTGATAATGTGGTGTACAAGTGAGCTAAATCCCAACCACATGCTGCTCCGAAAGCTGTAGGCTGAGGTTAAGGCAGCTATTTAAGACAACTGGAAGGTTATGTTGGCTTCTGGCTTGCAGCCAGGCAAATAAGGGACCGTTGTGATTTTTTCCTGGTTTTCAGCGTTCCTTGTCATGTAAATGGCTTACGCCTCCTCCTCATATGGCCCCTTGAACGAAGGATACATGCGAATATAATCATGCAGCATGGACGGGCAACACCAGATTGACACCTCACACATTGCATTTGGCACCCAACTGACTCTTAACAAGACTGCTGTATGAACGCCTTGGTAACACAAAATATTTACAAAGCCCCCCTCCCCCTCGTCTACATCTATTTCTTCTCCTCTTTAGGTGGCTCTGGCTTTGGTGTCGGCAGCTTGAAGGTCTCGGGCGTAACATCCACGCCAGATCCAACCTGCTCCCAGGCACTGGAGCCTCCCTCAAAGTTGCGGAACGCCTGCGTGAGCTCCAAGGGCTCTGTGACAATGCGCTTCTTCTCCTCGTCATACCTAATCTCAGTGTAGCCGGTAAGGGGAAAGTCCTTGCGCAGGGGGTGACCCTCGAAGCCATAATCTGTCATGATGCGGCGGAGATCGGGGTGGTTGACGAAGAACACACCAAACATGTCGTACACCTCGCGCTCATACCAGTTGGCGCCATCATAGAGGGGGGTAAGACTGGGAACGGGAGAGGCCTCGTCGGCGTAGGTCTTGACACGGATGCGGGAGTTGTGGCGGATGCTGAGGAGGTTGTAGACGATCTCGAAGCGCTGGTCACGGGTGGGGAAGTCGACGGCGGTGATGTCGCTGACCATGGTAAACTCGGCAGAGGTGTTGTCTATGATGAATCGAGGTTAGAGAGGGTGGATATCACCCAGGGGGCGTAACGGGCTGCCGGCTTACACTTGAGGAAAGAGAAGACAGGGATGACGCCAGAGGGGCAGATATAGATGGTCAATTCGTCCTTCCACACAGAGAACTGCTGGATGTATTTGGGAAGACAGCCCATAAGCCAGGCGCCATACTTGTGCATAGCATCCGCCTTGGCCTGGTACTTGTCGGCAGGGTTCACGGGGGCGGCCTTGAGGGTACCGATCTGGTCGCGGGGAAGCTCACGGGGGTTCGGGGCGTCCTTGGGAACGGCGACATTGCTACGGGCAGTGTTGGCAAAACACCGCACCATGGGCGCCGCAATGGAGGAGGTTGTTGGTCGGAAAGCCGAGGCCAAAGCCCTGCTTCTGCAGAGCTTGCTGGCCATGGTTGGAGTCGGGGGGCTGAAGCCAATTGCTGGGAATCAACCAGTGCCCTCAGTCGAATATGGGTGCTTGACGAGGTCGATTTGCAATTGACGTCGAAAGCTTGGAGCTCGAATCCATGGCTGAGTCAGGTGACCCATCACGTGCCTTGAAGCCAAGAGTGAAACAACAGACAAAGTTGCTCGAGGCGAGCTACCCCACAATTTCTTTTGTACAAATACATTTTATGAACGTGGCTTTCGATTTTACTCTACCCTACCTGACTGATCTCAACTACTCTTACTGAGAAAACACCCAATCAAAAGACACCAGCTATCCCCAGGTTTGCTGAGACAAATAGTCGTTGACGCTTCATCTGTAAAGTGGTGTCGTTGCTTTCGCGGAGAACCGAGCACAGCGCGACACGTGCCAGACGAGACTAACCAAAAGCGGATTAGCGACTCCGTGACGCTTTCGAAGGCTCTGCTCGCCGCTGGACAATCGTCTCTTGTTCTTTTCATTCACCTCCACCAGCGAGTTGGTCCAGCTTAAATCAATAAATACAGTACCAGGCGCACCCAGTGGTCTCTCCAACCTTGTTCCGCGTATTTTTTTTTCGACTTGCTACCTCGACTCTTCTAATCTCAAGAAACCGAGTGCAACCCCAGCACCAAGTTTAATTCACCTTGGCCGTTTACATCCAGCACATTGCCCAAAAGCACACCACCACTCGTCGTTTCGATCTTGCCACTCGAAACCACATCTCGAGTATCGGAACAAACCCCATCTCGACGACACCACCTCCACATAATTCACAATGACGCACCAAGACACATTCATCGACGATGATGAGGACACTTGGTATGTGGTTTCCCTCCTCAGGGGGCTTTCTGTCCCCACCAGCAGTACCGGCATCCGCAGCTCGGCGCCCCCTCTTCTCGCACCTCCAGCGCAAGTTCCATGCTAACCATGCTTCTAGCCCCCTCTGCATCGAGGAGTTCGATCTCTCAGACCGAAACTTCCGTCCATGCCCCTGTGGTTATCAGGTATGCTGCCGCCAACACCCTGCGCGATTTGCTCATCAGATTACTGACCGCCCACTCGCTACAGATATGTCAGTTCTGTTTCAACAACATTAGGAACAATATGAACGGGCTATGTCCTGCGTGTCGTCGTCCCTACAACGAAGCCACGATCGAGTACAAAGTTGTCACACCTGAGGAGTAAGTGGGGTTCATAAGATGATGCCTGGCTTTGGATATTGACAGCAGCCCAGATACGCAGCATTCCGAGCCAATGTGGCCAAGAGCCAAAAGAAGCGTGCCGCTGAGCAACGGCAAAAGGAAGCCCAGAAAAGAGAGGCCGAAAACCACAGTCGCAAGAACCTTGTCGGCGTCCGAGTTGTCCAAAAGAACCTGGTTTATGTGACCGGGTTGCAGCCGACAGTTCGTGAAGACGAGTTGCTCAAAACCCTTCGAAAGCCCGAATTCTTTGGCCAGTACGGCAACATCCAGAAAATATCGATTAGTAATCGACGTGGCACTGACGGCCACAACCAATCTCTGGGTGTTTACGTCACCTTTGAAAAACAGGAGGATGCAACCAAGTGCATCCAGGCAGTCAATGGGTCCATGAATGGGGACAGAGTCCTCAGGGCGCAATTAGGAACGACGAAATACTGTTCTGCTTGGTTGCGGCACGAGACATGTACCAACCGCCAGTGCATGTTCTTGCATGAGCTGGCTGAGGAGGAGGACAGCTACACGCGGCAGGATCTATCGTCCATCAACGGCATCAATGCCCAGAAACCGATACCCCACGCCGCTGGTTCTTCCCGCTCTGCATCAAGACAGCAGAGCCATCCTTCGCCTGCACCGGTAGCCGCCCAGCCCATGATTCGCAGTTCTAGCAAAGATGGATCGGACCACGGCGATGGCCCGGCGCTGCCTGCCACCGCGAACTGGGCACGTAACCCACAGGTTCGTAGCAGAAGGGGCAGCCATGCCACTAGTGGTGCCGCACCAAGCCCTGCCATCTCGAATGCGCTGCCAGTTACGACCGAGTCTGCTGTGGAGGACGAGCCAGTTGCCGATGTACCGGCTCCCACGCCAGGGCCTTCCACCGCAGCTCCGGCATCTGCCCCAGTATCTCCCTCGGCGCCAACCCCAACCCCCGCAGCGGCATCGCCGGCTACGCGAACCAAGTCGGCCAAAACTCCTGCTGAAAGAGCCAAGCGCACCACTCAGGACACCCTCAAGTCTCTGCTCAAGTCGCTCGAAGGCTGCGCTCTGGCGTGGCCGAAACCGAGTGCTGAGCAGGATGATGCTTCCAAGTACCCTCCTCTTTTCGATTCTCGTGGAGGCGAGCGTCGCCGGGCGATGAGGGAGTCCGAGGCCGCGAGCACCACTGGTGACCAGCTTACTGCGAGTGTTCGTGAGCCCTCAGAGGGCGAGCCTGAAAGCAGTGGCAGTCTCGCACTGGGTGGCGAACCAGAGGACCGGGATCATGTTCGTGACACCCACGGCTTTGACCCACGGCGCACCGCTCAACCACCCATTCAAAGAGGCAGTGCCGATGGCTTCTTTGGTCAAGCTGTGGGCTCTGGCATGACCCAATCGACATCGAATCTTGGGTCTATCGGTACTGCCAGTCGGACAATGACGCCTCAACAGCGAAGCTTCATGCGCCCCCCAACTGGGTTTGTCGAACACTTGACAGCCCAGACCAACACCCTCTTCCAGGGACAGGGCCACAACCGCCAGGGCTCCCGCTTCAGCTTCGCCAACGACAACAGAGACGCTGCGTCCTCTACGTCGGTGAAGCTCACAGGCAACCCCCGCATCATGGCTCAGCAGTCGTCCATGATGCCTTCAACGTTCCACAACCAGGCTGGCAACCAGTACTATGGTTCCTCCATGCCGCCGCCGCCTCCGGGTCTCAAGTCGACTGGCACACCTCCCGGCATGTTTGGGCAGCACGGATTTGGCTTGACGGCGGCGTTCGGCGGGGCGTCAAAGGATAACGAGATTATGCAACAACTTATCAACCGCAACAGGGGCGGAGGTGCCCAGGCTCATGATTCCGGTAAGCGTGAGTACACGTTCTCTTTCAACCCTAACCAGTACCCACCTTCCAACTCCTCGACCCCGGCTCCTGCCTCGAACCACCTCGGTTCGCTCTTTGCCTCGCAGCCTGGAGCATTCCAAGACATGGGTTCAAAGCAGAAGAAGAAGGGGAAGAAGCACAGAAACGCTAACACTTCCTCCTCTGGGGGGAGTGGCATAGTTGATCTTGCAGACCCGAGCATACTTCAGGCGCGAATGCAGTCGCATCAGCAGAGCTTGCAACACCAGCAGCAAACCCTGCAGCAACAGAGCAATGGCGGACTCGGGCCGGGTGTGTTCGGCGGTCAGTCGCAAGGTGGGTACACCAACCAGGGCATGATGTATAACCAGCCATACCGGCAATGGTGATGACGACTCTGATCCGGAAGTGCCGGCCGCGATTTCACGAAAAATTGGCTTTTGCATTGCATTACACACATATCACCATCATTTTTTGGAGGGAAGGAGGAGCACATGCGTTTTGTTTGGCTTTTTATGTCACTATATATCACGACAGCGTTGGTTTGGGTGGCTCAGCCAGGGGATTGTTTGTTTTTTGTTTTCTTTTCTTATGGGGAGCGGGCTTGAATCACGGTTCTCGAGCATCGCAGGCATTGGTTCCACGAGGGAGGGACCCGCCTAGCACTGGCGTCACTTGCATTTTGTTGGTCGATTAATGGCCTTGGGATACATCCCAAGGGTTGGGGCGGGCGGTCATGGAAAGACAAAAAACAACACCAGATTTTTTGTGGTCACGTCAGGCAAGCTCTCATCGTCTTCCTTTGGGGTTCTCCTTCATGTACGTTAACTTGGGCCCCCAGGTTTTAAACACAGCTGGGGCTGAGGTGGCATCGGTGGATAAAATAAAGCGTTTTTTCTCGCACCATTCCGATAGTACACTTTACCAACCGGAAGACGATGATGGTAGTCTTGATGTGACTTAATTCTCCTGTATATAATGGCGCTGCTTGCTTGTGCTCCTTCTTCTTCCTCCTTCCTCCATCCTCTCTGCCCCACAGGCCCAGCGGTCTCTCTCCTGGATGTATCTTCTCATCTGAAGCTTTGCACTTTGAGCCATTCAAAAGATATGGAAGCTAACTTGGTTTATAGAGGACGACTTACTCTCACTCGAAGAGTTTAGACCCAGCATCGACGCGCTTGTGGCGGATGAGCCTATCGATGTCAACATTCGACACCCCCCTGGGGGCTTTGAGATTTTTGGTAGGACTGGAACGCCTTCGGCGCCACCCGGACTTCCAATTCCAAGCGTCCAACATTCACCTGCTATCTCACATGCGTCACTCCACACCATGAACTTTGGGCGACAAACCCCGTCAGTGGCGTCACCCAAGGTTTCGTCTAAATCTGCCCCATCAGCTGCCCCAAGCCCGCTGATAAGCAAACGCACAATTACTCCATCAGCCTCTGAAGCGAAAAATATCATCAAGGCACTGGCCGCTGAAAGTGGTTTATCCAAGGAGATTGCCAAAGCCAAGGCCCCAAAGATAGTCACCTTACAGGACGAAGATTTCCCAGCTCTCAACTCACCAAAGGCTTCAGCTGCGGCCACACCTGTTGCTACACCAAAGCCAGCACCAAGTAAGGTAAGCTCTAGCAAGAAGTTGATAGGTGAGGCCGCACCTGAGAAGAGCGCCAAGAAGACCAAGAAGGAGGAGAAGAAGGAGAGGAAGGAAAGGGAGAAGGCCGAGAGAGCAGAAAGGCTTGAGAGAGAGAAGGCCGAGAAGGCGGAAAAGGAGAGGTTGAAGGCCGAAGAGAAGGAGAAGGAGAAAGAAAAGGCTGCTGCTGTGGCTGCGGCTGCGAGTACGGCACCTGTCAAGGTTTTGGAGGCGCCTTCAACTGTTGCCACATCCAAGGCCGCAGAAAAGACTACTGCTGCTCCTGCTGATAAGAAGAACGACAAGCGTCCTGTGCCTGGCATTCTCAATATCGCGGCTGCCACCAAGGTCTCCCAGATTCGGAATCTGGAAGCTCCCTCGGCATCGACAAAGTCGACTACCGCAGAGAAGGACTCGGCGTTCCCTGCGCTGCCTACTCCGACACCGGTTTCCGTTTCGTCACCACTTTCACGGGCTGCACCTAAAACTCTAAGACTGGTGGCCACGCCGAAGACGGAGACGCCATCGACGCCTATCATGGGTGCGGGTCCGTCTCTCACCGCGCCCTCGGCGCGCTCATCTGCCGCGGCATCTGCCCATCGGCCTGAGACACCTGCCAGCGAACTGATCTCCGACAGCGCTTCCATTATTTCCGCTTCCATCTCGGCCTCGCGGACCAACTCGCCTCCTCCGTCTTCCAGGATTGGGTCCGCCCCAACCCGGACCACGACCAAGAGCCAACAGCGAAAGCAGCGCAAGGAATTGACCAAGAAGGAATCGGCCGTCCTCGCTGCGCAGCCTATCAAGCCAGAGCCCGAGGTCGAGATTGGGCCCATCATCGGCCGCAAGAAGAAGCAAAAGAAGGAAAAGGAGAAGCCAGCTGCTACACCGACCACGGCGAAGAGCAGCTCCGAGCCACCGGCTGCTTCCCCTGCTCCCTCAACAAAGGAGACCAAGGAGACCAAGGAGTCCAAGGAGGTCAAGGAAGTGAAGGAAGAGTCTTCAACCTACCGCTCTACCGCCAATGAAACTACTACTTTGACTGGTGAGCCTACTCACAAGAACAGATATGACTCCAACACCCCCGATGGTGGCAACCAGCAGAACGCCGCCGTCCCTCGCGAGGGGCCCTTGCCTCACGAGATCCTTCAAAGCCTCCACGAGGCCGGCCTAGTTCCCGAGAACCTCGAGAAGCTCGCCTTCTTCCAGCCCACCACCGTCCCCCTCGACCGGTGGAAAAATGACATCAACGCTGCGGGTCTCTGGGAGCTGGCAGCCAAGAACACCATGACTCCCACCAAGAACATGGTTACCGAAGAGGACCAGGCCATTTTGCTGTCTGGCAAGCCCGTCAGGAAGGTCGTCGACGGTGTCCGGATCCTCATCACCCCCAACGGCGATTGCATCCGCAACCTCACCGCCGACGAGGAAGACAGATTTTTGGAGCTCCAAAATGCAATCGCGGAGGAGGCAGCCTCCCCGGCGTCATTCATCTCTTCCCGTCACGACACGGGTTCTGGGTTCTCGCTCGTTAAAGGGAGAGCTGTTCCCAATGGACCACCGAGTTACTTTCCCCAGGGCAAGGGAGCTTTTCCTAGCGACCCGGTGAACAAAATCCAGAGGGAAGAGGCGATTTACTACATCAATCAGTATGTCCTCCCGAGACTGAACCTCAACTCTAGGGATATGAGTTTTCCTAAGGCGATCTCCAACTGGACTGGGGGGAGTGGACAAGGAGTAGGACAGCAACAGCAGCAGCAGCAGCAGCAGCAGCAGCAACAACAACAACAGGCGCAAGCTAATGCTGCTGCGGCGGCGAATTTGGGGGCGATGGCGCCGTGGTTGTATGGAGCTGGGGGACCGGGGATGGTTGGGCATGGGGGGGGTGATATGGCTGATGCTGTTGCTCCTGAGCTGAATTATCCTGGTCCGGTCGGGGCGTTTGCTGAAGCTGGGGGTAGTAGTCCGGGTGTGTTTGCGAGTTATCTTGAGGGAGGGGTGGATGGTAGTGGTGGTGGTGGTGGTGGTGGTGCGGAAGGGACAGGGACAGCAACAGGGCAGAGACATGTTCCCCCGGGCGCTGGGGGGCCGGCGGGGCCGTTTGGGAATGTGCCGCTTATGAGTTTGGAGGATGCGGAGCAGGCGCTTTCGGCGGCGAGGAAGGAGGCGGAGAAGCTGGAGAGGAGCTTTGTTAGTTTGGTGAAGAAGAATAGGAAGTTGTTGTTGAGCACTAGTGGGACGGGGTTGGGGGGGCATCATTGACTCGTTGGTGAGGAGCAAGAGAAGGAGGAGGATAGGGGTGTGGTGGTTCATGATGGGGTTGTTTTGATTGGGATGGCGGTTGGGTTGGCGAGGGCGTTGAGGGGGTTGGGGAGGGTGCATGAGGTTGCTTTTGCGGTGGTTTGGATGGCTGTTGTTTTGGTGGAGGGGTTGGTGAGTGCTGTTGTTGGGTGGGGGGTTTGTGGGGTTATGGATTGGATGGGGACTGATTATTAGTGGGAATGGGAGTTGTTATAGCGTGTTAGTGATATCTTGTCAGCGTTGTTTGTATGGATTAGGGGGTTGAGCGCAACGGGGGGAGAATTGATTGCGGGTATGATACCCCGTATTGTACAAGTCAGAATTAAAAATAAAATAAAAGATTATTTTTGACCATGCTGCTATCATAAAGCTGTGAATCCATCATCTATCACCCCAACCAGCCAAAGTTATATACCTACCTAACCTTACATACCTTCCCTGCTCACATACAAATCATGATCACTGCCTCTGTTCATTCCCCAAATCAAGGCTCACTCTCAACACCAGGCGGGAAAGTTCCAAACAGTGCCATCTGCCATCATCAGCCAACCACCCCCATCACATATGAGGTAATCATCAAGAGTAAGGGAACTCACCAAATGCTCCGTCTCCTCCTTGCCCAACTTCCCCCCCACCAACCCAGCAGTAGCCTTGGACAACATTCTGAAATCTGTCACCACCACCTGTTAGCATCCTTTTTCCCTCTAGGCAAGGCAAGAAAACCCAGGTGGGAAGTTCAGGTGAGCTTACAATCAACATAATGCCCCGGCGTAGCCGTCATGTAGCACTCCCCTTCCTCGCTCTCACTCCCATTCCTGAACGTGTGGATCGCACCCGGGGGCACAGTCATGCAGTCGCCCGTTTTGGCGACGACGTCCCCTTCCGGGGTAGAAAAGACGATTGTGCCCTTGGTGACGAAGAAGAGCTCGTCGTGAAACCGATGCCAGTGCATTGGCGGCCCTGACGTTCCCGGGGGGAGGGTGATGGTCACGGCTGAGACTCTGTTCTGGGTGTTTGACCCGTCTTCAAAAACTCTAACAGTCAGGGGGCCGACTTTGAGGGTTTCTGCTTGGGAGGAGGGGACTAGAGAGACGGGGACGGGGCCGCGGGTTGGCATGGTGATTGAAAGGGTGGGAAATGGGGTAAGTTGGGTAAGGTGAGACAGCGATGGCGAGTTAATAGGTTGGCAAATGTGGGAGCTCTAATACAATGTGTTCATCTCGCATAACACCAACGTAGGTGACAAAGGGCAGGAGCTAGACAGCTGAGGATGACGGTGTTGCTGGTGGCGGTTCTCCGGTGGACGGTTGAATGATTGATTATATAAGCCTGAGCTCTAAGAGTGCCGTGACAGACGAACAGGGGTTGGACCAAAATATACACAAACCGAGGATGGAGGAGTCAGTCCGATTCTAATTGGGTTTGATTACAGCGAGCATGCTTTGGGTGCAGTCAATATGTTTTCTATGACGGAATATCTACCTAGAGAAGAGCGAGTAGCCAGAATGATAGCAGCGCCAACTTCCAACTGTGTGCCATTGACTGAAAATGTGTGTTGATTTGCGAGGGCAGCTCCGTCCGATGTCAATATCTCAAAAGTACTAAACACACAAAGTATCAAATTCCGCAATCGTCAGCTAAACAAAATGTCCCCCTGGCAATCATCTGCGCCATCCCTCTGCTCGAAAAGACCCCCTGAACGCCTGTCCTGGCCTGTCAGAGCCTTGGAGAATAAAAAAACAAATTCGACAAGAGTGCTGTTACAACATGGTTTACAGTGAAGAGTCAAAACACAAAGGACTCAGGAGTTGGCAGGGGGTGAGTCGACCGGTGTCTCTTCCCTCTTGATGATGCGTACATGACGCTCGTAAAACTGCAGCATCTAGACGGAAAACGTCAGCACTTCAATACGGCCATGTGGGGGGCTCTAGAACCTACTTTTTGAGGGCATCTCGAGTAGATGACGCTAGTCTCGTGTTGAGTCCTGTGCCCGTTCTTCCATGTTAGGTACACCATGAGCTTGTGGGTCTCCTCGTCCTCGCATGCGTCAAGGTGCGCAATATGATCTTCCCAGCTTCCTGCTGGTGGCTTCCAGACCGCTTGCTTAGCGCTGGCTGGGGGCTCGGAGTCTGCAGGATGGCTGCCATTTCTCTTGGATCGTTTGCTGGTGGTAGATGCTTGCGGGGTTGACGAATCCTTGCGGCCGCGCTTCTTGCTCTGGACGGCGGTGTGGGTTTCGTTAAGGAGCGCTTCTCTGCCACCAATGCTCTTCAGGTATTCGTTGAGAGCCTCGGAGGCGTTCTCACTATGTTTAAGCCCGTTAGCCCTATTGTTGCAGTCCCAAGATAGAACCACAGTTCCTTACGTCAAATTTTCCTCCGGTTCCCACGTGCGGTCCGACTTCTTTTCGTATCCCTCCCATTTGACCTCATAGAGTAATTCGCCGCCCTAAAAGCAGTCAGATGAAAGCCAAGTAGCGATCCCATGTTGCGCTCAACCCACCTTTCCAATCATGTGCGAGAGAATCTTCTCAACAACATAACTATTCGCCCTGTCAACGACTGTCCAATCCACGCATCATCGTCTCTGGCGGGTCCATACACTTCGGCTTCCCCGTCTCCATCCTCTTCTTCAGTATCCTCATCGTCCTCAGCAACATCCCCATTTACAATCTCGGGCTCCTCTTCGTCGACGGGTTCGGAGTAGCGCTGTGCTTTCTTGCCGCTGCGCTTTGGCGGGGGGCTGAGCTCTCGATCCGAGGGCTCGCTATCGCTCATTGCTAAATTCGAGGGTTAGACATGGCTGGTCGCACGACAAAGAACATGACAAGATGCAGCTCAGAAAGCGGGCGGCGACAGGTCGATTGCGACGACGCGACGCGACGCGCCACCCCGTCGCGCAACCGTAAATGCATCGAGGGGCTTTGCAGCTGGGATGGAAGCATACCTGGTGGCATTGTGACGTTGGAATCAGACGAAAAACGAGGGGTGGTTTGTTTGGGTGATTATGTGAAGCTATTCACAGCAGGGGGGTTAGCACGGCGCAGGTGTGCAGTTTCAGCGGTTCCAGTCTCGTCTAGCAAACATGCAGCGTTGGTGATGGCTTCTGCGGAAAAAATGGGGGCTGGCTTGCCAACGGCAAAATGGCAGGAGGTCAGGTGATCTGGCGATGTTAAGAACGCATTGACCAATCGCTTTATGGAGAGCTTGGTCTCCAGCTGAAGAAGCGATGACAGGCAAGCCAAGATCATCTATTCAATACCGCCTGTTTGGGGTTGTGGCCACGGAAATGAAGACAAACCTGATGAACTTCATAATAACCCCCCCTTCGCACGTAGGTTCCTCGGAGAACATGGGACCAACACGAACATTCGGATGGCTTCGAGTCGAGATGCCCACTGGAGCCATGTGCCATGCTGTCATGTGGAGTCACTGCAACGCTCAAATTAAGAGTTGGAGGGACGGACAAGCATCTCCAAATTTGTGATGGAAGATGAGGCGAGGAGTGCCTCCAGCTTTGTACAGCAGTAGTCAATGCCAATTGGGAACCAAGATAGTCATCAGTCGTGATACTAGCCAGTCGGGTACAGTTCCAGGACATCCATCAGGTAGGTAGGTAGTGGTGTTGTAAAAGTGTCACCGGAAAGCTTCCTGTTGATTGATTGATCTCAGGGGAATTCCAGAAGCTTGCCCCAGGCGTGACAGCGCAACCTACAGGCACGACCCCGGTCCCGGCTAGGCACCCCTGCAGTCCCAGCCGATGATCAGCGCCAAGCAAGCGGCGGAACAAACAGCAACGTTTGCCGGTTGTTGCGCTTGTCCCGAGAGGGAAATGACCTTGGGTGAACTGCCAGATGTCACCGACCTCCGGCACAACCTGAGAAAAAAAGAATTGACCTTGATGGATCAAACCTCGACTGGAACTGGCTGATCGGGAGAAGGAAGGCTGCTGCTGTTCCTGCCTCTGGATAATGTCAGTTGGGTGCAGATACGACATGCACATGCAACTTTAAATTTCACATCGCACCCATCTTTTCCGCCCGCCGCCGTCTTCAGGTCTTGGATGGAACCTGCATCTCCCTGTCTGCAAGCCAACACCGACTGTCTCTGGCTCCTGCTGAGGTGTCGATGTCCTAACCCCTGCCGCGTTACCTGTACTGTACAATAACCCGGGAAAGGGGATCCAAAAAAGAAATGTGTCTGGGCCTCCTCGCTGGCGAGACGAGGCGATCCATTCACCACTCAAAAAGAGGCGGAATATTCCCCATCTGTCATTTTTAAACCCCGAACATCCCAAGCCTCGTTTGCGATCCTTCCCGCCGCTTCTTCTTTTCTGATCTCTTTTGTTTACTGTTATAAAACACCGACCCCGTCTTCAAACGCCCGTCGCCCAACACCCGTCACCCGTCACCCGTCAATGGTCTTGTGTCTGCACCAGTCCGGCCGAAGGAGCAACAGACGTTGACCAACTAAAGAAGCTTCCGGGTCTTTTACCCCCTGGGCCCCCCCCCTTGGATCGCCACGGCCCGCCCTTCTCCAGGTTGCTCTAGAGCTCCCGTTGCTCCCCACCGTCTGTGACCGTTCCGCCGAGCGAGTACGAGCAGCCACCCGTCCCTGCGGCTCACCGACAACTGCCCGAGGTCAGCAAAAAGCCCGCCATGTCCGACGAAGCCCCGGCCCAGTCGGCCGAGACCGGTACAACCAAGGCGGTCAAGGACAAGACCTGTACCTATTGCCACCAAGCCTTCACATCGTCTTCGCTCGGCCGCCATCTAGATGTATTCATTAAGGAGAACAACCCCAAGGCCCCCGATGGGATTCACGATGTGGAAGAAATCAGACGGAATCGATCCAATATCACCCGCCGTCGTCCCAAAGCTTCGACCGGAACCCCCGGTGCTCCTGGGGTTAGAAGACGAGACACGTCAGTGTCAGTCGGAACGCCAACGGCTGCGTCGAGAAGGAGTCAGGGGTCTGTTTCGGTAGAGGTTGATTCTGCATCCATCACACCAGTATCACAAACCAAAGGCAAAGGGACTGCTGATAGGAAATATCCGTTCAATACACCATGGGAAGCCACGGGTGTCATCAACGACCTTGGTGGGCGGGATGCCACGGCATACGAGGGTGGGTTCAGGCAACATCAGCGATCAGCCAGTCGCCAGCGTATGAAGCAACAACTGGACGCCAGACACGTATTGCAAGATGCCGAGGATACGAAAAGAGCCGCTGAACTCGCATTGCGGGAAATCATGGGTTCTTGGAGGGCTGCAAAGTAAGCCAGGCTTTCTCGTTGTGCCAAACAGACTTGTATACTGACGCTCTTTGACAGACAACAAATCGACATGCACTCGATACCTTTTGACTTTGATCCTCTTGCATTGGACTTTCCGGCACTGACGTTGCAGTGTCTCGAGAAACCACCCACGCTATTTGCTTCTACCCAGCACTCGACGTCCACTTCGTGGTCGATAACACCACCCGGTCCAGTTCAGCTGCAAGCCTTGCGAAATTATTTTGGAGAAGAGTTCAGGAGATGGAAGCTGGCTTGCACCGCGGCGACAACGGCGGTGAACGAAGATCTAACATATCCTCCCTCCCTAGTGCCAGTCAAGCCAGATGCTCGAGAAGCAGTGCGCAAGGCTGAAAAGGCAGCCGACAAGATGGAACAGCAAATATCCGATCACATAACAGCGACGTATTCAGTTTGGTGCTCACTTCCAGAGCCTGAGCGTGCCAGGCTGTGGACCCTCGAGCTGGCCAGAGGCTTGGGGCGGAAGCAAGACGAGGGGGCCAAACTCAAGCAAACCCAAAGCCTTCTTAGGCAAGAAAACAATCATCTCAAGTCTCAGATCGAACACTTGAGCCGGCTACAGCAACCTAAAGAGTTCAAGATTGTGCAGCCGACAACAGTGTACATGGATGAGAAGCTGGTCAACCACATGCTGGAGCTCGGTTTCAGCGCAGCGAAGGATGGCGGCGGCGTAGGCTTCAACATGGCCGATAGGCATGCGGATCTCGACACGGTTGTGGCAAGGGCGATTAATCGCTGGAAGGATGTGATCGTGTCGTCTAGGTCCGCGGCGGCCGGTATCTCAGCGCAGCGCACCTTGGAAGCTGCGAGTGCCGGAGTGTCGCCAACAACTACTGGCTCTGGGCAGGGTATGCGACAGTTGCAGCCTCAGAGGCACCAATCACAACATTCGGTGCCGAATAACGACGCCCGGGCGTCTCTTCACCCTTCTCCGGCAGCAAGCAATAACGTTGCGAATTATGCACCATCGACGGCATCTACCACTAAAGCCGGTTCGCCCTCGACTGCCGTCGGTACACCCAGCATCATCACGGCGCCGGCCAGTGTTGGTGCCGGGCAAGATTCGGACGAGGAAATGGGCGGGCAGGACGTGCCGGAAATCTCAGAAGCTAACACAGCTGAGGAAGACGGTGATGTTGATGCGGACGCGGATGCTGACGCGGATGCTGACGCGGATGGGGACGTGGATGCCGACGCCGATGTCGATGCCGATGCCGATGCCGATACCGATGCCGATATGGACGCTGACGCTGACCCTTAGTAGCTGGTTGAAGGATTTTTGCATTGCGTCAGTCTATCATTGCTTCGTATTATTCGAGTCAGAGCACAGCGGGCGACATCTTTATTTGTACCATCATCGGGAAGGGGGGCGCATTGCACTGGAAGGGAAAACAAGGACAGTCCTCAGCACAAGGTCTTATAGATACTGTTTCTTAGCTTTAGTCATATTAATACCCGTATAGAATTTCTCTTCTTGGCACTTATTTGGAGCCAGAAACCAACAGTTGTTCCCATGCTTGAGCGTGCACAGTACAAGTACCTCATGAAGGGTGAGAAGAGTGAAACCCACAAAGGGGGCAGGGTTAGGGTCACCCCTGAGTCACTTCGACTGATAACAACCCTGACGGTTGCGATTGAGTCACCCCGCCAAAAGCTTTCAAAAAAATTACCCCGCTGTGGATAATTTCCAGCATCTGGGCCGACAGCGGGCAACTTGAACCCCCGAACCAGAAAACCTCCCCCCTTCTTCAACGTTGTTGAATCTAGTGGTCCCTGGTACGAGACAGCACCACTTTCAAAATGGCCGACTCAGCTCCTGCCCCTGCGCCCCCCACCGAGGAGGTTGCCAACCTCCATCTCGACGAAGTGACGGGCGAGAAGGTCTCCAAGACGGAGCTCAAGAAGCGTCAGAAGCAGCGCCAGAAGGAGGCCGAGAAGGCCAAAAAGGCTGCTGCTGCTCCCCCCAAGGCGTCGTCCGGCAAGCCCAAGAACGCCGCCGGTCAGGAGGAGGCCGACCTCAATCCCAACCAGTACTATGAGATCCGGACGCGCCACGTCAATGAGCGTATGTGATGTGTTTATGTGGTGGCTGTAGAAGCTATGGACTCGGTGCTGACCCAATGCGTCACTGTGTGCAGTCCTCAAGAACCCCGAGACGAACCCTTACCCCCACAAGTTCCAGGTCACCTATGACGACTACAAGTTCCACGACGAGTTCAAGCACCTCAAGTCTGGCGAGGACGACAAGAACACCGAGATTCGCATCGCTGCCCGCATCTACAACAAGCGTGCTAGCGGTTCCAAGCTCATCTTCTACGGTAAATTCCGCTCCAACATGTTTCACCGGCTGGGGACGCCTTGCTCATTTAGCTCCTAGATGTTCGCACCTCTGCCGATACCAAGAGCATCGGCACCCAGATCCAAATTGTGTGCCAGGCCCAGCTCGTCGCCGAGGGAGCCCCTTCGTTTGAGCAGCAACACGAGAACATCCGCCGTGGTGATGTGATTGGTATCATTGGTTATGCTGGCCGTACCAACCCCAAGAACAGGCTCGCCGAAGGCAAGGAGGGCGAGCTGTCCATCTTTGCGACCGAGATCAAGCTTCTCAGCCCTTGCTTGCACATGCTTCCCAGCGTGCGCTTCCCCTTCGCCGACGCTGAGCAGCGCGCGCGTATGAGATATCTCGATATGCTGTGGAACGACAGGAGCCGTGAGACCCTCTGGCAGCGCAGCCGGATGGTCAGGTATATCCGTGACTGTAAGTTTGTTTGAGTCAATCCGGAGAAGAGCAAAACTGACAAGTGGTCAAGTCTTCCATGAGCGTCGCTTCATCGAGGTTGAGACGCCCATGATGCACGCCATTGCTGGCGGTGCTACCGCTCTGCCATTCATCACTCATCACAACGATCTCGATATCGACATGTACATGAGAGTCGCCCCTGAGCTGTTCCTCAAGAAGATGATTGTCGGTCAGTTTGGCAAGGTCTTCGAGATGGGCAAGAACTTCCGCAACGAGGGCGTCGATCTCACACACAACCCCGAGTTCACCTCGATTGAGTTCTACTGGGCGTACGCCGATATGTACGACCTCATGAACATCACCGAGGAGCTTGTTTCCTCTCTCGTCAAGCACCTTACCGGCGGTTACGTCACCAAGTTCACCAACCAGCACGGCGAGGAGTACACGGTCAACTGGGAGGCCCCATGGCGCAGGGTCGAGATGATTCCGGCCCTCGAGGAAGCCACCGGCGAGAAGTTCCCTCCCAGCGAGGAGCTCCACACCGACGAGACGAACGCGTTCCTCCAGAGAGTGTGCAAGAAGATGGGTGTTGAGTGCCCACCACCTCTCACCAACGCTCGCATGATTGACAAGCTCACGGGCGAGTTCATCGAGGAGACCTGCGTCAACCCCACCTTCATCTTGGAGCACCCCCAGATGATGAGCCCTCTTGCCAAGTACCATCGTTCCAAGAAGGGTCTCTGCGAGCGTTTTGAGGCTTTCGTGTGCAAGAAGGAGATTGCCAACGCCTACACCGAGTTGAACAACCCCTTCGACCAAAGACTTCGCTTCGAGGAGCAAGCTCGCCAGAAGGACCAGGGTGATGACGAGGCGTAGGTTTTCCGCCAATGTGATGAACGATTCGATACAAGGCTAACTTTCCTGCAGTCAACTTGTTGATGAGTCCTTCTTGAACGCCCTCGAGTATGGTCTTCCCCCAACCGGTGGCTGGGGTCTCGGTATCGACCGTCTTGCCATGTTCTTGACCAACAACTACTCTATTCGCGAGGTGTTGGCCTTCCCCTTCTTGCGTGAGGAGAAGAACGGTCCCAAGCAGCCTTTTGCGGCTGAGCTCGCAAATGTCGAGCCCATGCCCGAGGAGGGCATCCGTAAGTCTATCCAATCAAGAGTTGCTGACGCGTACGTACCCAATGCTAATATAACTACAGCCCACAAATAAACGTATACTACCAAAAAACAACAGAGATACGTAAAAAGGCCTGGCGGAGCTGTGTAGCCACCAGTTTCTAGATATTTCTCGGTGAAAAAAAAGAAGAAGTGTACTAGGTATGTAGTGAACAGGACAACGCAATGTTGAGCTGAGGCACTGCAAAAGGACTGTTTGATTACCTAATGATCATATAAACATTATGTGGTGTGAAGATGACGACTGAAGTTTTGCCAATCAAGATGATGATGGGCTGTGCATGTGGAATCAGAGACTCAGCGAACGTGGAGGAATTGTCGGTGTTTGTTGTTGTTGGCCAAGGGCTTGTCGAAGTCTTGGGTCTTGGAGATGACAAAAGAGGGAGATGCGATCGGGGTGTGTGGCTTGGCGCGCACAGAGATCGTGTAACGATGAAAGTTCTTGGTTGAGATAACCCTTCAGGAACACTCATTTCCAGCAAGCTGTTTCGAAGCTGTCGAGGGCATTTCAGCTTATGAAGTGTTTCCTGCTGGCATTCTACTGTCTAATCTATTGATGACGCAAAACAAAGCCGTTTTATGGTTAAATCAATGTCACCGAGAGATCTTTCCAAATCCCGATCGGGAGAGAGAATTAAAAAACGTGGGGTTCAGCCAAGGCTGTTAAGCGTGGCTCGCAAGGTGCCAGCCAAGGAGTCTAAGCCCCAATTGGTTCACAAGGCTTCCAGCTTTCAGGGGTGGGAATGGGACGTCAGTCGGGTTCGGATTCAAAAGGTGTTTGCTTGCGTATTCCGCTCGTACATATTCGAGATGACGCCCCCCTCCCCCCCCCTTCTTTGTTAAAGGGTGGGCGATGCGCCGAGGCTTGTTATTGGAATTTTTATCTCTTTCGTTCTATTAATTTGATCGAGATCGACGTTCTTTTATTTGTTTTCTTCAGGTGACAGTTTTGATAGACAGAACCGGCGGGATTGTCAAGTCAACGTTTCACTTTTCCCCGCGCGCGCAATTCTTCAATTGAGTTTAACGCGCGACCAGACTCCCGGGACGTGTGCATGCTGTAGCGCGCGGCGCAAGCCGAGACAGTTCGACAGTAGTAAACGGTTCACGACAATCACCGACCGAACCGGCCGACCGTTGAACACAAGTTCCTCTCTTTTTAGAGGGCGTGTCCATCGCCGCCGCCGCAATGGCGCTCCTCCGCCAAACCTGGACCCTCACCCGCAAAAACTGGCTCATCCTCCTCGGCCGCCACCCGTTGGCTACCGTCGTCCAAGCGTTTGTTCTCCCCATCATTTTGGTGTCCTTCCTCTCGTTCGCACGGAATTTGTTCGTCCCCAGCGCAGTCTTTGGCATCTCCCCTGCGCGCCCGATCCGATCTTTCCAGAATGCTCTCGAGGCCTCGACGGGGAGGCCGAATGTTATTTTTGTTAATAACGGCTACACGGGGGGAGAAATCGAGCGTGTGATTGATGAGCTGGCTGGGGTTGCTGAACGAGCGGGGAAGAATGTTACCATTTTGGAGAGGGACGAAGATGTCGACGGGATATGCCGGAGCAGTTTGAGGGGCGTGACGGAGTGTTTCGCGGCTGTGAGCTTCAAGGGGAGTCCGGAGGAGGGGGATGGGAACGGGCTGTGGAATTACACCATCAGTCTTGACAGTGCGCTGGGGCAATTTAGGATCAATGCTGAGAGTGATAGGAATGATGGGCAGATTTACATGCTGCCGCTTCAGCGGGCGGTGGATGAGGTTATTTCTAGGGGGAACTCTGGTCGGGGGAATGAGCTGCCTGAGGATGTGGAGGAGTATCAGTTTACCAGCCAGACGACGGAGGAGAGGGCGGAGAGGATTAGGGTGTTTTACCAGAGCGCGATTATCAACTTTTTGGGGGTGACGTTTATTGCTGCGTTGATCGGGGTGGTGTATCAGATGACGGGTTTTATTGCGACGGAGAGGGAGACGGGGATGAGTACGCTTGTGGAGGCGATGATGGCTACCCCCAGAAGGTGGCAGGCGCAGGCGGCGAGGATCTTCTCGTACCATATTGCGTTTTCGCTGCTGTATTTGCCGGGGTGGGTCATCAGTTGTATCATTTTAGGGAGGGGGGTGTTTAGCAACACGAGCATTTTGGTTGTGTTGTTCTTCTTCATCCTGTCGGGGTTGGCACTGGCGTCGTTTTCGGTGCTGGGGGCGAGTTTCTTCAAGAAGTCGCAGTTGAGCGGAGTGTCGGTGACGATTATGGCGATTTTGCTGGCAGTTATTGCTCAGGTTATCACCAGGCCGGGGACGGGGCCGGTGGTTGCCTTGAGCTTGCTGTTTGCGCCTTGCAACTTTACTTACTTCATCACGCTGATGGCGAGGTTTCAGGAGAAGCAGATTTCGACGGATTTGTTGAAGACGGCGCCCGATAGTCCCTGGAATGTTCCCGGCATTGTGCTGTTTATCTTTCTCGCGGTTCAGATCATCGTTTACCCTTTTCTGGGCGCCATGGTGGAAAGATGGCTTCATGGTACCTCTTCGAGTGGGAGGAACATCGTCATTGGAGACAAGAACAGGGGCGATCTCGGTCCCGACTGCGCGGTTCAGCTGGAAGAGTTCACCAAGGTCTACAACCCCGGCCCTCTGCGACGCCTGTTCTCATTCATCTCCAAGCCCAAGCCGCCAGTCGTCGCAGTCAACAAGCTCTCCCTCTCGGTCAGTCGCGGCCAGATCGTCGCCCTTCTCGGCGCCAACGGCAGTGGCAAGTCTACGACCCTCGACACCATCGCTGGTATCAACAAGGCCACCAGCGGAAAGATCACCATTGACGGCACCGGCGGTCTCGGTATCGCTCCTCAGAAGAACGTGCTCTGGGATGAGCTCACTGTCGAGGAACACATCCGCATCTTCAACCGGCTCAAGTCGCCCAAGAACCACGCCTCCAAGGAAGAAATTCGCCAGCTTGTCATCGGAGTCGATCTCGAACAAAAGATCAAGGCCCAGTCAAAAACTCTGTCCGGTGGTCAGAAACGCAAGTTGCAACTCGGAATGATGCTTACTGGTGGCAGCGCCGTCTGCTGCGTGGATGAAGTCTCTTCCGGTTTGGACCCTCTGTCTCGCAGGAAAATATGGGATATTCTCCTTGCCGAGCGTGGAAGGCGCACCATGATTCTGACGACGCACTTCTTGGATGAAGCTGATTTGCTGGCTGATTACATTGCTGTCATGTCCAAGGGCAACCTCCGCGCAAGTGGCACATCGGTTGAGCTCAAGGATCGCAAGGGTGGCGGCTACAGGATTCATATCAACAACAACAAGCTCATCCCGCTGCTTCCGGAGGTGGAGGGTGTTACCAAGAAGGCCACCCAGGAAGAGGCGGCTTATGTCGCGGCTACTTCGGCTTTGGCGGCCAAGACGATCAAGGAGCTCGAAGCGGCAGGGATTACGGATTATCGGTTTTCTGGGCCCACGATTGAGGATGTGTTTTTGCAGCTTGCGGAGGAGGTTCAGGCTGAGGGCGGTGGGGTGCCGATTGAGAATAGGGGTGTCTTGAGCTCGACGGAGGATGAGAAGTCGGAGACTGTGCCGGTTGGTGATGTCAAGACACCTGTGAAGGGTAACGGGCTGGAGTTGATGGATGGGAAGCCGATTGGGTTCTTGAAGCAGACTTGGGTGTTGTTTTTGAAGAGGTGCACGGTTTTCAAAGGGAATTGGTTCCCTTCGATTGCTGCTTTTATCATTCCGGTTGCTGCGGCTGGGTTGGTTATGTTGTTTGTGAAGGGTCAAGAGCCTGCTGGGTGCAGCGCGGACGAGCTGTCGTCTCGCCAGGAGGCTGTGAATATCTTTGGCAGTGACTTTGACTTTTGGATGGTTGCTGGGCCTTCGGACAAGTTCTCGCAGTCTACGTTGATCAATCTGTTGGCCCCAATCTTTATGGCGTCACAGGGCTTGGAAGGTAATGGCAGCACTGGAAGCAGCGATGGTATCATTGTCAAGAGACAAAACAACCCGATGGATCTTTTCAACAACATTACCTTGGTTGACACTCTTGATGAGTTCAACAATGCGGTGCTTCAGTTCCGCAAGAATATCACCCCTACCGCTATCTGGCTTGGTGACGACAACACTCCTCCAACTCTCGCGTACAAGGGTAACGGTCCTGAGGTGATCAACGCCTGGTTTGGCCAATGGGTCATGAACATGCTGCTGACCAACTCGAGCATTGCCTCTTCCTACACCGTCTTCGACCGCCCTTTCACTCCCAGCACCGGAAACTCTCTTCAGGTCTTGGTGTATGTCGGCTTGGCTTTGTGCGCCTACCCTGGCTTCTTTGCCCTTTATCCGAATCTTGAGAGACGAAGAAACGTCCGCGGCCTTCAGTACTCCAACGGTGTTAGACCTCTTCCCTTGTGGCTCGCCTACACCGGTTTCGACTTTATCATCGTCATCGCTGGCGCCGTCCTGAGCATCATCTTGTGGGCAGCTCTCGCCAATAGCCTTTGGTATCACCTTGGCTATGTGTTCCTGATCTTCGTTCTGTATGGTCTGGCTTCGACTCTGTTGGCATACAATATCTCGCTCTTCAGCGCCAACCAGCTGTCAGCCTACGCCTTTACCGCCGCTGGCCAGCTCGTGATGTTCATTGTCTACCTGTTTGGTTACATGTCGGTTATCACTTATGCACCGGTTCAACAGGTCGACAAGCTGTTGATCATTGTCCACTTTGCTCTGGCAGTGTTGGCACCGATCATATCGCTCACTCGTGCGCTGTTCCTCGCCATGAACCTGTTCTCTACAGCCTGCGATGGTGATGCCCTGGCCTCTTACCCCGGCGGTATCCTTCAATACGGCGGTCCTATCCTCTACCTCGTCATCCAGATTATTGTCCTCTTCCTCATCCTCGTCTGGGCAGACGGTGGCAGCGCTGGGTCAGCCTCCGCAAACTCCTGTCCGTTCCAAGCCCAAGGCCGCCAACCCCGATGAAGCAGCCGCCATGTCGGATGAAGAAGTCGCCAACGAACTCGTCCGTGTCAAGTCCTCGGCCACCGGTGGTAACACCAAGATCACCGACGGCCTCCGCGTCATCAACCTCACCAAGTCCTTCGGCTCCAACACTGCGGTCGACAATGTCACCTTCGGTGTCCCCCACGGCGAAGTCTTTGCTCTCCTTGGCCCCAACGGAGCAGGTAAATCCACCACCATCTCCGTCATCCGCGGTGACATCAAACCCTCCGGCGGTGCTTCCGGCGGCGACGTCTTTGTCGAAGACGCCTCGGTAACGCAGCAACTCTCCGTCGCCCGCCGCCACCTCGGCGTCTGCCCTCAATTCGACGCCATCGACCAAATGACGGTAGCCGAGCACCTCCGCTTCTACGCTCGCGTCCGTGGCATCAGCGACATCGACGCTCAAGTCTCTGCCGTCATCGACGCAGTAGGCCTGCAACTCTTCCGCGACCGCCAAGCCCACGCTTTGTCAGGTGGTAACAAGCGCAAGCTGTCTCTTGGTATTGCTCTCATGGGTAACCCCTCTGTCATCCTCCTCGATGAGCCCTCCTCCGGTCTTGACGCCGCCGCGAAGAGAATCATGTGGCGCACCCTTGCTGCCACCGTCCCGGGCCGTTCGATTTTGTTGACGACCCACTCGATGGAGGAAGCGGACGCTCTAGCCGGGAGGGCGGGGATCCTCGCCAAGAGGATGCTCGCCATGGGAAGCATTGAACATCTCCGGAACAAGTTTGGGGATCTCATCCATGTGCACCTTGTCTGCAAGGGGGCGCCTCACACGCCTGAGTCTCAGATTCTGAAGATTAGACAATGGGTCGCCGAGCAGTTTGGCGAGGGGGCGGAGGTGGAAGAGAAGACGTACCACGGACAGATGAGGTTCAAGGTTCCCGCCTCGGCGGTTGTGTCCGGGGAGAAGGACCCCAGGACCGGAGGGGATCTGAGTCAGAACTCGGCCGTGGGGAGGCTGGTGGTGTTGCTGGAGGAGAATAGGGATCTGTTGGGGGTGGAGCACTACAGTGTCAGCCCCACGACGCTGGATCAGGTTTTCTTGACGGTGGTGGGGAGGCATAATGTTAGGGAGGAGGGGTATGAGAATAAGAAGGTGAAGAAGTGGTGGCAGGGGGGGGAGTGGAGGTGGCCGAAGATATGGTGTTCTTAGAGAGGTTAAAGAGGTGGGGTAGATGAAGGTGGGGAGTTATTGGACATATGGGCAGGGGGGATTTCTTTTCAATTGTTGTTATATTGTGCTACAGCCAGATACCATCACGTTTTGGTTTTCTTTTTTCTTTTTCAGATATATACATTTTCTTTATTTGTTAATATAGGGGCTGGGGTATGAGGGCATAGAAAGCCAGGAAGCGCTTTTTAGAGCTAGCTTTGGGATTATGATGGCTATGAGTGTGTAGTGTGTCTACGGCATCAGAAGATAAATATTCATGAAAGATATTTCACTCACAAATACTACACGTTTTTGTTCCAAAAGGTTGCAAGCTAGGGTACATCAGACCATTACACCCCTGCCTACCTCAACCTACATGCCCGGATATAGGTAAGGGACTCATGACTTCTAGCCCTTCGACCAGGCAGTACCCCACAATCCTCTGAAGCCCAAAACAAGCCAACTCCTCAAACCAACGCCGTAGCCGGCTCACTAGCTGGAGTCGCCCTGCTTCTTACACACGGTAGGCTGTACTTTGGCCGCCGAACCAAAAGAGCAGCAGCAACAGCGCGTTCGAGGGTGCCACTGGCAACTCTCTTACCAACCCCGCGCTGTTCACGCCGGGAGATGGATCAGACTCATAGCTAGAAGGAGACCCGCGTGCCGAGGGTGTGTGGTATGAGTCTGATGCTCGGTCAGTCGGCACACTGGGTATTTGTGGCAAGGGGATACGATAGTCAGACACATTCTAGTGAGACAGAGAGGGTGTAAAAAGAGGGAGAGGATGTCATCTTAATGTGTGGCAGAGGGGTGTTGGGTGGGGAGACAACAGTACAACGTTGCTATATAGTTGAGGAATCTGATGAGCACAAGCACATACGACCATAGACAGCTGAAAATACGGCATCCCGTCCGCTCTGCCCGAGTCAAGCAGCTGATCGCCA